TGGACAATTTTGGCCATCTGGTGAACCCTATGGACTTCTTTTCAGAATAATGTTTATAAATGCATAAAATACATATGATTATAAAATAAATCAGTTATTGAAATGAAGAGTTTTTCCCATCCAACTTCACAACTCTCTTATAATCTATCCATGTTCCTCTTGTGGGGTATTGTTGACCCCAGGTAAGGAACTCCTGGTCTAAAACCTATCATTGACTGATTAAGCCATGCTTTTTTTTTTTTTTGGTTCGGCAATGGGATTAAGTGACTTGCCCAGGTCCACACAGCTAGTAAGTGTTACGTGTCTGAGGCTTTATTTGAACTCAGGTCCTCCTGAATCCAGGGCTGGTGCTCTATCCACTGCGCCACCTAGCTGCCCCTAAACCATGTTTTTATATAAAGTATCAAGGCTAAAATGGGGTAGTTTTGACCCTTCCCTTATGTAAGTGCTTTTTTTCTCCCCTTCCCCTTTCAGGTACACAGTTAATTATTAGGCATTGGTCAGACAATGGTTAAATGCTAAATATCATACTTAGAGACCCTTCTAAAAAGCCAGCCAAGAATACCTTTTCTGCAGTGTTTCTTCAGGGGGAATACTACCTCACTCTAGAATATCAGATTGAAATCTGTCACATACTTTGTCCAAGTACATGTTAAAAGAAACCTAATTTAGCAGTGGATAGAGATCCAGTCTTGGAGTCAGGAGGACCTGAGTTCAAATCTAGACTCAGACACATAACACTCACTAGCTATGTGACCCTGGGCAAGTCACTTAACCCCACTGCCTCATCAAAAAAAAAAAAAGAAAGAAAAAGAAAAAAGAAAGAAATCTAATTTAAGAACAGTTTCTGTGGAAATGACTTAAGGATTTCAATTGGCTGCAAATCCAGTATAAGTCAATATTTTAGGAGATACATTGACAAGACAGAACATTTACAGGGAGAGAGACCAGTATGCTGAAGGGTCTGGAAGCCATGTCACATGAAGATCAATTGAAAAAACTTTAGATTTCTAGCCCAGAGGAGATAAAAATTTAGGGTAATAATGTTAGCTATTTTCAAGTATCTGAAGGAATATTCATGTTATGAAAGGAATTAGATTAATTTTGCTTGTCTCTAGAGGGGAGAACTGGTGCATCTGGGTACAAATTACAGGGAGGTAGATTTTGACCAGGCGTATTACTGAGAGGCAGCAAAGGCATAATGACTTGGGCTTAAGTCCCACCTGTAACACATATTGACTATATCACCCTAGACATGTCAGCTAACCTCTCAGTTTAATATGTAACACTTGCCCTCAAGGAGCTTACATTCTTTTAAATTTTTTTCTTAAATTTTTTTTTAATTTATGAACTAAAACAAGCATTTCCATAACATAGTATAATCAAAAAGGTGGTTACACATGAAACTGCAAATCTATTATGCACAACTTTAAATATATAATGAAATTATCATGTAGAGAAAAGTAAAATGTAAAGAGACAGGAAGGATAGGAAGGTGCCAGATTATGGAGACCTTAAATACCATAAAAAAAAGTTTATATTTGCTCCCATAAGTATCGTGGTTAGACTTATGCTTTAGAAAATTTACCTTGGCAGCTGAGTGGAGGATGGATTAGAGTAGGGAGAGACTTGAGGCAGAACGAACAAATAGAAGGCTATTGTAATTATCAAGAGGACTATATGAATAGAGAAAAGAGGATGTGCAAGAGAGATGTTATGAAGGCATAGATGACAAGGTTGGCAACTGGATATGTGGGGTGAGTAGGGAGCCAAGGGTGACACAATTCTGGCAATGTCCTTTATGGTAATGGGAAAGTTGGGAAGATGGGGAACATTTGGGGGAACAGTTAGTGAGTTCTATTTCCATACCCAGGAGTTTTCTATGTTAGTGAAATCACAGGTCCAGTTTCTATTCTTAATATTAAATGAGAACTTTCCAATAATTAGAATAGTTTAAAGATGGATATGGGATATCATAGGTAGTAATGCTTTTTCCTTCCGTAGATGGAACCAAGGCTAGATGGTCACTTATTAATATTGTAGAATGCATTCATCCTTCCTGCAGTTGCGAGTTGGGTGAGATGACACTCCTATAGTCTGTTCCACCTCTTAGGTTCTGTGATCCTGTGACTCTGAAACAATGGAAATGATTCCAAAAGACAGAGACTCTGTCATTATTTAAGGGATCTGATCTTGGTAGTTTCTCTGGAGCCCTGTCTCTGACCCTCCGTATGTGGCCTCGGGCAAATTACTCTACCTCCTTGGACCTCATCATTAAAATGAGGGCTGTTAAGCCATAATTAGGTAGGAGAACCACAGTAAGAGAAGACTGAGTTAAGAGTTGTGTATTTTGTTGAAGGAATGAGTAGATAAACAAATAATGGTTCACATGAATATAGTGCTTGCTTCAAGACTTGCAAAGCACTTTACATATACTATGTCATTTGATCCTCATAATAACCCTGTGAGGTATGTACTATGACGATCCCCATTTTACAGTTGGGAAAAATCAAACTCAGAGAAGTTAAATGACTTCCTTATGGTTGCACAGCTATTATGTGTCTGTGGTAGAATCCAAACTCAATTCTTTCCAGCTACAAATTCCACTTTCTACAAGCCAATGGTTTACTTCAGGAGAGGAACTCTTAGAACTCTTCTTTATATACTAAATCAAGCTTCTGTAGGACTACGGGTCTTATTGAACACTGTAATACAGTCAGGGTACTTTGATGGACCAGAAAATGAACTGTAGGCCCTCAGGTGGGGAGTGAATGGATGTGCACTGAATTAATTTGCCTTCAGGGAAGGTTTTGCAGTGGAGTGTGAACTCATATTCAAACTGAACCCTACCCCAGAAACTCTAAATCACTCCAGAGAATGTAATTGAGGAACTCGGGACCCTTGTAACCATATCCTAATTCCATAACCTCTAATATCGTTTGTCATCCTTATAAGTGGTGTTGGTTCCAGTGAAATCTAGTTGACAGCTTCATTCAATTAATCAGTAAACATTTATTAAGCACCTACTATATGCCAGGCACTACACTGAGCACAAGGGACACAAAAAGAGGCAAAAGATAGTCCCTGCCCTCAAGAAGTATACAGTTTAGTGAGGGAGACAAATGTATACAAAGCAAACTATATACAAAACAAATAGGAAATAATTAGAAGAGAAGGCACTGGAATTAAGAGGGGTTGGGGAAACCTGCCTGTAGAAGATGGGATTTTAGTTGGGACTTAATGGAAATTGGGGAGGTGAGTAGTCAGAGTGGAAGAGGGAGAGAGTTGTGGGCATAGGGAATAGACAGAGAAAATTCCTTCAGCCAAGAAGTGGAATGTCTTCTTCACGGAAAAGTAAGGAGGCCGATGTCACTGAATCTAAGAGTTCATGTTGGGAAGTAAGTTATGAGAAGTCTAGAAAGATAGGAGGGGGTGACATTATAAAAAGCTTTCAATGCCAAACAGAGGATTTTATATTTAATTTTGGCGACAATAGGGAGCCACGGCAGTTTATTGAGAAGCAGGATACCATGGTTTGACCTGTGCTTTAAGAAAATCAGTTTAGAGGCTGAATGGAGGACGCATTCGAGTGGAGAGAGACTTGAGGGAGGCAGACCCACTATCAGACTATTGCAATAATCAAGGCATGTTGTAATGAGGACCTGCACTAGAGTGGTGGTGGTGTCAGAATGGAGAAGAGAGGATATTGCAGAGATGTTGCAAAGGTGGAAATGGACAGTCCTTGGCAACAGCTTGGATATGGGGTGGGGGGAGGGAAAATGTAGTAAGGAATCCAGGATGATTCCTAGGTTTTGGGCCTGAGAGGCTAGGAGGATAGTGCTGCCTTCTATAGTAATGGGAAAAGTAGGAGGTTGTGGGGAGATATAGAGAGGATTCTTGCTTCAGGTAGAGGTTGAATCTGATAACCTTCTGAGGTCCCTTCCAGATTTGTGAATCTGTGGTTATTATATATAGATTCTCATTTGCATACTTATTGGATGGCATATTTTTCAGATGGACTTTTGGGGTCAGTGTACTAGTCTATGCAGTGGGCTTCTGGATGGGGGTGGTGGTTTCAAGCCATAAGAATACTCCTGAAAAGTTAAGTCAACCCTTTTGTATCATTGTTGTCTATAGAATCAGAGCAACATCTGAATATCTGATGTAAAGCCTCTCTTTCTGTATTGGTAGAACTTTTCTGTAATATATTCTTTGACATCCCATGGAATGACCCCATACTAAATGGGTAACCTGTTTTACTGAAAATCTTTCCCCTTCATCAAAGCTGTTGAAGTTAACCTTAGGATGCCACAAAACACTTATAACTTTTCTTCAAAATTTCCTTGGTTATGTTGAAATATAACTGCTCCTTTTTATTCCCAGGCACATATTTAATAATTTGTTTTAAAATGAAGGAAGTGAATCTGCCATAAAAGGAATAAAATTTAGACTTTTTATTACTATTTTTAAATGGCCAATTTAAAATCATATACAACATAGATAGCTAGGATTTATTATGCCATGAAAAAATATTAAGAACCAGAAATTGTTATTTGGTCAGTTTCAGTGGAAACTCTTAACGGTACAAATAAGAAAACAAGCCTGAATACAATTTTATATTGCAAGTATGTACTACAAAATGGGAATGGGAATCTGCTATCTATATCTATATCTATATCTATATCTATATCTATATCTATATCTATATCTATATCTATATCTATATCTGTATCAGTATCTGTATCTGTATCTGTATCTGTATCTGTATCTGTATCTATATCTATATCTATATCTATATCTATATCTATATCTATATCTATATCTATATCTATATCTATATCTATTGTATTATACCAGCTAGAAACAGGGATATAGTTTATCATAGTCTTACCTGGAATTATACACATTGGAAATACAATGAGAGAGGTATTACATAGTCATAGCTTACATCTTGGCTCTAAAATAATTGTCCCACAGCAGAGGGAAACTGGAAACCAACTCTATTTTATTTCACTGGTACACTTGCATGTAGCTTTACAATAAAGCTTGACTTCATTCAAGTTACACGTAAGCTTATCTTTCAACTCTTGGCAATTTGAATATTTATCTTCATACTGACAAGGATTGGCTGAAGTGAAGCAGAAAGAAGGAAAGTTGTTACGAAATACAAGATATATTGCTTATCATATAGATTTCAGAAATGATTTAAATGAGACTTTTAGGAGGAATAAAAGTGAAAATAGGCCTAAGTTTTTTTTAAAGGAAAGAATATATAATAAGTTCTCATTCATGAGGTACCCAGTTAACAAGTTCAAATTACTTTCCATCTCCTATGCCACACTCTTTGTATACTATATGATATGATATTAAAATGCCTACCTAGAATCTTGCAGTGATATGGAAGTGACCTTGAATTCTCAAATGCTATATAGTATACTAGAGGCCCACAAAGCCAGAAAGACCCCTGAAAAAGCAAGTGATTTCTTTTGTCCAAGTATTTTTTTTGGCCATATACATTACAAGTGTACTATTTACTACTGTGGTTTATATCTTCATTCAATCCATTAATAAGGATTTATTTAGTGCCTAATATGTTCTGGGCTCTGGGTTACAAAACCAAAAATGGATTAGTCTCTGCCCCCATAGATTTTCATTTGATCAGAGGAAGTAACATATACATATAAAAGTATATGAATAATAAATAAGTACAAGATATTTTAGAGAGGGAAGGTGCTAGTGACTGGGTTGGAGGGGGAGGGGAATTAGACAGGAAAACCTTTATGTAGAAGGTATAGCTTGAGTTAAGCTTTGGCAGAAGTCAGTATTTTATTAGGTAGAGAGTGTGAAGGAGTGCTTTCCAGGTATGAGACACAAATAAAATGAAAGTATGGCGATGATGGAGTGTTGTGTGTGACGAGCAAATAAAAAGATCCTAGGTTCATATACAATCAACATATAATTTGATAATGAGATGTTGTCTATAAATTGTTTTGCAAACCTTAAAGCACCCTTGGCACCAAGGCAAAGATGAAACTACCTTCATTCCTTTCCACAACTCTCAGGCCTCCTTTAGGTTAATTTTCCCTTACAAAGTTGCTTTGACATTCACTTTATACTGAATATATTCACTACATTTCACTTCTATAAAAATATGGGAAGGGTTAAGACGGGGTGGGGAACTTGCAGCCTCAAGGCCACATGTGGCCTTCTAGGTCCTTGGGTGTGGCCTTTTGACTGAGTCCAAGATTTGTTCTGTGAAGTATGGATTCAGGGCAAAGGGCCACACTTGAGGACCTAGAGGGCCACATGTGGCCTCACAGCCACAGGCTCTTCACCCCTGGGGGAGAAAGCAACATGGAATGATTGACTTTAGGCACATACCCTGTTAATATTTAAATAATGATCAATACAAATAGAAACAGAAATAATATTGTAATTAAAATTACACTATGGATCACCTGGACAGAAACAGAAACAGATGAGGGACTCGGTGATTAAGTCCAAGATAATCCAGGTCTCTTGGTTCTGACAGGTAAAGTTTTGCCTTATTTTGCTGGAGTTCAGACCTGTATAACAAATCCTGTCCTGTCCACATGCCCACTCCATTCACTTCTCCTTTGTATGTAATCTTTTCCCATTTGACAGTAAGCCCCTAAAGGGTAGGAACTTGCTCTTTTTTTTTTCTTTGTGTTTATATCTTTTCATCCCTTAGCCTAGTTCCTGGCACATAATGAACTCTTAGTAAAGTCAAGAAACATTTATTAAGAACCTATCATGTTCCAGGCATTGTGCTAAGCCCTGGGGATACAAAGAAAAGACAAAGAGTGTCTCTACCTGTAAACAGCTCACAGTCATAGAGGAGAGAACATAAACACAATTATGTACAAACTAGGTATATCTATATCTACATATGACACACATATGATATATACACATACATATAATATACACATATGTTACATACATATGTGATAATGTATAAATTAGAGGTAATCAATGAAGATAAGGCACTTAAGGGGGGGTTAGAAAAAAACTTTTTGAAAAAGATGGGATTTTAGCTGGGACTTGAAGGAAGTCAGAGAGTTTCTCTCTCTGTCTCTCTTTCTCTGTATGTCTCTTTCTCTCTTGCTCTGTTTTGCCTATGTAAACTGGGAGAGAAGTCTCTAGTGCAGAGTTTCAGGGATCTTTGCTTGGCTTTCTACTTTTTAATATTTTTTTAATTAATTACTAGAATGAAGACATAGATGTTAACCAAATTTACAGATGACACAAAATTGGAAGGGATAGATAACTCATTGGATGATAAGATAAAAAGGAGAAGATCTTTATGGGTAAGAACACTGGGTTGAATATAAGAAGATGAAATTTAATAGGGATTAATGTATAGTCTTATACTTAGGTTCAGAAATTTTCACAAGTACAAGATATGGAGACATGCCCCAAACAGCCCTTTTTTCTAATAAACAAGAACTTGGGAAATCGTAAGCTCGGTATGGATCAACAAACTGCGAAACAGAACATGTTAATATGATCACATGCTAAATTGACAGGTATCATGTCCAGAAGGAAAGAAATGATAGTTCTCCTGTATTCTCTGCCCTGGTGAGACTACATCTGGAGACCAGCTATCGGACGGAGCAGGCATTGCTCTTCTGGAGGCAACTAGATGGCATGGTGGATAGAGAACTGAGTCTAGAAGATCTGAATTCAAATTCAGCCTCCTAATTAGCTGTGTGGCCTTGGGCAAGTCACTTAACCTCCCTTTGTCTCAATTTCCCTAATTGTAAAAAAGGGATAATAAAAACACCCCTGTCACAGGGTCAAATGAGTTAATATGTTTAAAGCTCTTAGCTCAATACCTGGTGGTAGTAGGCATTATACAAATGCTTATTTCCTTCCCTTCTTTCCCTTCCCCCTTAACCCCAGAGGGCAGAACTAAGAGCAGCAAGTAGAAGTTGTAAGGAAGAAACTTCAGGTTTCCTGACTTCCTAACAATGAAAGCCCTCCAAAAGTGGAGTTAATTGTCCTGGAAAATAATGGGTTTCCCTTTACCAGCAGTCTTTAAACAGAGACTGTGTTTGCATTTGCTGGGTATGTTGTGAGGGGGGATGGGAATCTTTTTCCTGTATAGGTTTTTAGATTGTATATGAGATCCATTTCACCTTTGAGGTTTTACGATTCTGTAGTTCTTTGAATGAACCCACTTCTGAAGAAGTATAAGAAGAGCATTCTGTATATACCTATATACATTCATGTTGTCTCTCCCAAGAGAATGTAAACTGATTGAGAGTAGGGATTAATTTATGTTTTTGCTTTTATATCCCTAGAGCTTAGCATAGTGGTAGACACATGGTTGGTGCTTAATACATGCTTGTTGCTTATTGTCAGTCAGCACGATGAGGGTAACCAGTCAAATGTCTGATGACTGATTGATTAATTAAATAACAGGAAGCTCAGTTGGCCTGATTCCTTCCTCACAAAGTCACTTTATTAGATGGAGGGAAACGCCAGAGGGCACAGGATCAGAAGGGATTGGTATGAAACTTTTCTATTCCTCGAAGGCAGGCCATGGAGTCAGTGTCAGACATAGCCGTAGGTACAGTTCAGAGTGATATTAAAGCATTTCTTCAATGACTTTCTCTAAAGGTACACGACATTAAAAAAAATCACTCTCTAACCATTGGGTTAGAAAGCTCCTGGTGAGAAACTTTCTCTACCAATACAGATCTGCATGTGCTCTGCAATTTATGGTTTTAAAGTACTCTGGGCTGACTTGTCTGGGTCACAGAAGCAGAATTTGTTGGAGGTCAACTTGAGCCAAGGTCTTTCTGATACTGTAGCCAGCAGTCTATCCATTATATCAGGCTGTCTCTATGTATTTTAACAGAGTTAACTTAAATCTTTATGTACAAGGTCCTTTACATAGAATGTTCAATAAATATTTGTTAGATGACATTCCTAGAGGATAACATATTAGCAAAAAGTCTCTAGACAGTGTGATATTGCTTTAGACTCTGTGTATGTTTGTATGTGCATATGTGTATGTGTGCTTGTATATGTGTGTGAGTGAAAGGGTAAGCAAGAGTTACTTTGAACAATGCAATGTTCCGAGACAATTCCAAAGTATTCATAATGAAAATTGCTACCCGTCTCCAGAGAGAGAACTGATGAACTCTGAGTTCAAATTGGAGTATAATTTTCTCACTTTATTTTTCTTGAAATATGGCTAACATGGAAATATGTTTTGCATGATTTCACATGTGTAATTGATATCATATTGCTTGCCTTCTCAGTAGGTGGGGAAGGGGTGGAAGGGAGGGAGGGAGAATTTGGGATTCAAAATTTGAAAAGAATGTTAAAAAATAAACAAAGAGAAAAAAGAAAGGGTATCAAGAGGAAAGATGGAAGATACTGAAGACAATCTTTGCCTAATAATAATTTTAACGTAAGTAGCAGTTTATGATTACTGCCTTGCTTAATAATTTAAAATGCTATTTTTAATATATTAATGAAAATAAAATAAAGAATTTCTTCCCAAAACAGAACTAGGAAAAGGTCAGGAAAAACTTGAAGATATTATAGGATGGAACAGGAAAAGAGACATCACAGTGGCCTCAGAATATTCAGTTGTAAAGTGCTTATGATTTCTTGGGCCAATTTAAAAGCATTAGGATGTAATTTAAGGGCCTTAGGTCTTGTGTTTGATCCCAGAAGACTGAGCATATGGAGGTGTGAAGAAAGAGAACTAGAGTCTATTCTGAGAAAGTTTTTTTAAAATTTCATTAAGGGTACATTGAGAGAGATTGACTCAGGGGAGCACAGTAAAAGGGAAGATGTATATTGATAATGCTGAGACTTGACAAGGTAGAAGCAGAGGGTGAGAGGCTGACTATGGGTGAGATGACAGGAAAAGGTATTTGTTGAATAATAAGGTTCTACCTGGAGCAACAGAAAATGGTTGTGCCTGCCTTTGATGCTGAGAAGGAAGCTGTTGAAACATCTTACTCCCCTCCCTTAGCTCATTCTTGTTCTCATGCTGAGCTTATATCTCATTTCTCATTTCTTTAAGAGTCCATTTGCTTCCTGGACTTGCTTTGTGTACTTAAAAGAAACAGATTTCTCTAAACTATTGTTCATTGCATGTGTGTCCTTGGGAGATTAACAGGAGGTGAGTAAGGAGGCCATGGTCACTCAAGGACACATCCACAGAGAAATAGCTTCTCTTTCTGGGGTTTTCACTGGGTTTTTCATTGCTAGGGGCTTGAGTCAAATAAAATAAATTTTGTTGACACATATTATTATAGTGCCCCCACCACAGAGAAAAGATTAAGTGAATCTGGATTGTCTAGGAGGGGATTATCCAGCAATTTTTTGCTGGGAGGGGGCTTGGAATTAAAAGTAGAAGGAAGCTCCTCTGATACAGTAGGCACAGGCAATTTACCTCCTATTGCCTCTTAATTTGGGGGTATAATGAGGGCACTGAATAAGGGAAAAGTTGTGGCCACTGAGAGACCTGAATGGGAAAGAGTAGCTCTCTCCACACAAGACTGATAGCCAGAAAGGAGTAGTTAGTTTTCCCCTTCAGCCAAATAACTCCTAACTCCTAACCACTGTCACGTACATATATGCTATGATATGATGAGTGCTTCTGAATTAGATTTTGACATATAATATATATTACAGGAAGTTTTCAGAGAAGTGCCTAGTTCTGTTCTGGGAACACATTCTCCCTTCTTATATCCAAAAATAGACAAGTGGGGTGTAATGATCTCAGGGATGGGGTATGTGTGAATTAAAGTTTCATGACACTGATTTCATTACTATCTATACTCCATTCACCAATTCAGATCTTCAGAGGCTGATGATTAAGCCTCTCTGAACTTAGCCAAATGATCCTCAGACGCTGGTCCAAACCTGGACTGACTTGCTATTTTTCTATATGGACCTAGGGAGTGTGACTGACTTTTACAACTAATCACAAAATGTTTCCATTGAACCAACTGAATAATCATTTATGCTGATAAAAGTATGTCAGAAAACAGAATATCTTGTTTAGATATTAAAACATCATGCCTTTATATAAATTGAGGGTGTCAGGGAGGTATCCCCCCTTCCTTACATAGCTCATCACCAGGCTTGTTTTCAAAATCCCTTCCAATTGGTGGAATCTACTTTCAAGATAGCACAGCTTTTGAGAACCCAAGGTCATCTCCATATTATGATGGAACATTGATGGATAACTTTAGTAATCTTTCTCTCTCTCTCTCTCTCTCTCTCTCTCTCTCTCTCTCTCTCTCTCACACACACACATACACACACACACACACACACACACACACACACACACACACACACACACACCCAAGGTAAAGAAAGAGAAACAAAGAGAATTAATTATTTTTCTAAACTTACTACAGAGTCCATTTTGGCAAGAATGAGGGCAGTCAGCACATCTGTCACCTTTCTTGTAGGGGGTTGCTAATGAAGAGACTTTATTCCCTCTGCATGGCAAAAGAAGAAGTGTTTTAAAAGAGTAAATTTATCATAGATATTCACCAGCCCCAAAGCATAGCCCCCATAGAGGCTAAATTCTTATAAAAAGCACTATAAATTGTATACAGAATTCTGACTCTGAATTTCAAGCAGGAAAGTTACCATATTTAGTCATTAAAGAATTCATTTTTGCATCAAAAAAAAGGCAGAAGACTGTGTCATGGGGAAATATGGCATGAGGCAAAAAATATGAGAAAATATGACAAAAGGTATGAATTGTGTTTGTGTAGAATTTGAAATATATGATCTTATTTGATTTTCACAGCAATCTTAGGAGGCATAGTATGCATATATTGCTATCATCTTCATTCTATAGATGAGGAAATAGAACTAGAGAAGTTAAGTGACTTAAGTCTTTACTCTTGTCAAATATAAGGTTACTGTACTTATTTGCTGCTGTAAATTGGATGTCTACTCTGTTCCACTGATCTACCTTTCTATTTCTTAGCCATTACCAGATAGTATTAATAATTACAGCTTTATAATATAGTTTAACATCTGCTACTGCTAAACCATCTTCCATTTTTTTTTATTAGCACACAAGAATTGAAGGTACTTTGTTTCAAGACTATTTAAGGCGTAACTCACCTTCAACCTTCCTCTAGTGTCACCCGATGTCTGGTACCTACAGAAAAAGAGTCACATATCATTTAGGCCTTGGGGTCTAGGCAATGTAGATGGTTCTATGAGGCCCATCCCTTTGGAATCCTAAGTCTAAATCTGAAAGTACTTGAGTGGTTTCTGTCTTCACCTCAGAATAAGATTTCACCTTGCTGTAATAAGGAGAACTCGTGTGGAGGTGGAATGTCATGTGATGTAATTTCAATAAAGATCAATGAAAAGTGACCAGTAATAAATGACAACCATACTTACACTGGACGGTATTGGCATACATAAAAGTATTTATATGCATCGTTTGGGCACAGGGAAACACCACATCCAATTTTATGAGTTCTATACCAGATCATCTATAAGTTAAAAAAATAAATTGTTCACAATCAATATTGCTCATGTTAATTAGCAGCCTGCACTTTATCCTAGCTGCTTAAATGACCCCTATTTATTGGATGTATTTTCTTATCCCTTTCCTCCCTGCAATTTTCCTCTACCCCTCAACCTCCAACCTTCTCCTTCTCATACAATATGAAAGGAAATTCTGATTCCTGAGTTCTCTTAGCACTTTGTCTAGATCTCTCTTTTTCAGTATCTCTCATATATCAGGGTTATTTTAGTACTTATCCTTATACCCCTATCCCTCATTAGATTGTAAATACTTAGAAAATAAGACCTGGGTCTTATTTATCTCTATATCCTCAGAATATAGCCAAATAGTATACTGTACATAGTAGGCACTTAATAAATTGTTGGCTGGAATTAAATGGATCCTGATAATCTCTCATTTGATTGTTTCTCTTGGTTCCAGGGTTGTCTCCCTGTGGCCACCCATCTTAATCCCCAGGCAGGCTTTTCATTCTTTATTGTCTCCTTTAGGGATAGGGACTGAACTTATGATTTCATTGGTATAGCTGAGGGAACTCTCTCTATCAATGCAGTCAGCACTTTGCAACTTAGAGTCTTAGAGAAAGGCCTAGAATATTGAGACATCAAGTGACTTGGCTAGAGTTACATAGAATGTGTCTGAGGCAGGACATAAACCCAGCTCTGTAACCAGTTTTCCATCCATTACATATGGCCTCTCACTCAGATTTTTGAATGACCTCATAACAATATAAATGGTAACCATTCCATACTTTCTCCATCAATGCAATATTCTCCATGTCTTTCAATTGATCAATCAGTAAACATTTATTGGGCACCTACTATGTGCCAGCACTGTATTAAGCCCTGGGGATACAAAAAGAGGCAAAAGACATTCCTTGCCATCAAGAAGTTTATAATTCCTAAGTCAAAGGATCACAAGATCATTGATCTAGAACTGGAAGTGATCTCAAAGGTCATTTAACCCAAATCTTTCATTTATAAATGAGCAAACAGAAGCCCAGGTGAGCTAAATGATATTCTCAAAGTCACAGAGGTAATGAGTTTCAGAGGTAGGATTTGAACTCAAGTCCTCTGACTCCAGAGCTAGTGATTTCCATAAGTCCTTCATAGGCAATCTATTCAATGAGGGAATTCACCCAAAATAGCACTTCTGGGTATTTTAATATGCTGAAGTACCACTGCAGCACTCACATCATCATTTGTCCATTATCCCATGGAGAAGATTAAAATCAGTAGATGCATGAAGCGCATTCTGAACAGTTAAGAGAGCTATCTAAAGAAGGGTACTACTACATGCCAAAGTAGGTTTCTGGTTGGGGAAAGATAATCAAAAGGAGTTGGAGTATTATCTTCTTCCAAGCCCAGAAAAAAGAGGCAGAAGAACATAAAATACAACATTTGCCTACTTAGTGTTGCCTCAGATTAACTTGGGTCTTCTCAACATCTATCTTAAATATACCACTTCTCAGGTCACCAAGAAGCATTGGCTTTTTGGAGAATAAGGCGTTGGGGTGAGGTACTCAGTAGCTCATAGAATCACAGATTCAGGGCTGAAAGGGACCTCAAAGGTCTTCAAGTTCAACCCTGTTAATTTAAAGCAGTGGAAATTGGGTCCCCAGGAGATTGAGTGACTTGCCCAAGGTCAAATAGAGTGTCAGTCAGCAGTAGGATTTGAACCTAAACCCTTTGACTTCAAAGCCAATGGTCTTTCCACCATATTCTGACACTGACTCTGATGGTCAAAAGTAAAAAATGTACCACATAAGGAATATAATTATCTTTCTTGGCATGGGTTAGGATGGAGAAGGGAAATACACTAGATGCATTCAACGTTCATTCAACAAAGATCAGTGAACAGCCTATTGTACTCAACGCTCTATGTTGGGTGATGAATTCTATTCTGTTCGATAGATAATCAATGAAAGGTCACAGTGCTATAATTCATACCTGAGTGTAAGCAAGATAATGGCCACGTTTGTTGATGGCCCCTACTCCATAAATAAAATTCTTTTTCTCTAGTTCCCAAACAAGGATGACATCATCCCAGGAGGCAGGAAAACTTGATCTAAATAAGGTTTCACCACATACTGTACCTGAGAAGAGAAAAAATAGTTCAGACTCCCTAATTGTACTAAGGGTACAAGATAAGAACCAGAAATAAATAAAAATGGGTATGTATTTGCCCTAGGGTTACCATTTGATATTGAACTAATCATATTCCCTGGCTATTCCTTAATTTTTACATTTAGTAGAGAAATTTTGGTGCTTTGGAAAGGATATGACCTGAATTTAGGAAGAACCTGGGTTTAAAAACTGCTGTAATACTTTCTAGTTTTGCCATTTACGCCATGGGCCTCAATTTCTTTCTCTGTAAAATGAGAACGATAATCTTTGCAATAAGTATCTCACAGAGTTGTGTGGAAAGTTCATTGCTAATCTGTATTTAAATTTCTGCTATATTCACGTTTGTGAATTATCTGTAAAAATGAATTAAAAAAAAAAGAATAATGGCCTGCCTCATAAATGTTTATTTAAGTGCATACACTGCAACCTGGGCGCAAATTACACATTTTCGGTCTGTATGACTTTCAGACCACTAAGCTATCAGTTAATTGTCTACAGTAGATCTGTTATTTTGGGGTATGCTATAAAATGAACTTTATGTTAGCATAGAGCTATTAGCAGCAGAAACTCTGAGCATTATTTCCTAGCATATTCTGATCTAGAGCTGGGAAGGACAGCAAAAGCTATCTTTGCCAACTCTTTCATTTGACAGATGAGGATATAGTGGCTCAAGGAGGTGAAGTAACTTGTCTAAGGACTGCCACCTAGGCAGCTAGTATCTAAGGCAGGATCTCAAACTAAAGTCCTCTGAGTCCAGAGTCAAATGCACCTTCCACTGTACATGCTTGTCTTCTGCTCTTACAAGGAGGCAGAAATTGGTTGTCACCATGAGATCTTTTAGAGCTCTAAATTTCTATGTTTCTTAATAGAAATTATAAGAAACTTGGAGTTACCTGAGAAGTGAATATGAACATATGAAGATAGGCCTGGATTGTTCCCAGGCCCTCAAGTGACCCTTGCTGTCTGCTCTTCACACTGTTACATCCCAACCATTTCTGCTTGTTAACAGCTAACATTTTCTTTTAGACCTGGCTTATACACTACCCCCCCATTTAGTCTTCCATAATTTCTTTCTCTGTACCCCCTTTTCCAAGCTTAAAGATTTTTTCCCTTTAGTTGCTCTCATAACAATTCATACTCCTCTTAGGCATTCAAATTCTGACTTGTGCCATATTGGTGTATGAGTCTTAACTATGTCTACTAGCTCACAAGGACAGGGACTATGACTTTTGTGTCTTTATAGCTCTCCCAGTACTTAGTATCTAGCATATTTGGGAGGAGGATCTAGTCCCATGATTTTATTGGTGATTGGAGAGGGTGGAGGATGGATATTAGAAATCTCTGTCTGTATCCACGTAGCCATCTCATAATTTCTCATTTGGCTGTAAGACCTCAGCATGCCCCTATTCTGAGTATCTCTCTTGCTCTCCCTCTATTTTTCAGTCTGTTAAATATATGATAGCTTCCCCCCATTAGATTGTGAGGTCCTTGAGGGCAGGAACTATCTTTGACCTTTCTTTGTATCCTCAGAGCTGAGTATAGTGTCTGGTATATAGTAGTCTCATAGTAAATGCTAATTGACTGGCTGAAATGTTACCTCAAAAAAAGCCTCTATGGTGAATGAATGTGCTGGTAACTTTATGGATCAAGGAAGAACTTAGCCAGGGTATGGAAGATAGTGCTTTCTGGTTGCTTTCTATTTTAGCGTATTATTCTTGCTTAATAGGTACTAAATTCAGGTGTGTTTTTTTTTTAACCTTCTAAAAGATTGCAAGAACTTAGTTCCCACTAGTTAGTTTCAGTGTCCTGGAGCAAAGTTCTAATCATCTTGATACCTTTAAAGTGCTATTTTCAAGACATTCCTAAAGTCTCTGAGTATATGGGTTGTAAATCTTTACTTACCATTAGTAGTTCTTTTAGAAACCTCACTATTTTCCATATTGCATTTATCTGCCCACATTTGAGCATTTGAAGCAGATTCATTACTCCATTCCTTAGTGGAAAAAGGACATATTTTATTTTACATTTTTTATTCCAGAAATGGGATCATCTCTTAACTTTCAAGCTTGAACTAATGCAACAGCCTTCCCAATTGGTCTGTATATCTGCAGACTCTTTCATTATTCCTACTATTCTTTCTATTCATTAGCTTAGAAACATGAGACTGAGATTTTCATCCAGCATATGCCACTTGTAACTATGCCAATAATAATATCTTTTGCATTTTACAGGGCTGTTAATGAAAATAATAGGAAATCAAGCTCTTTTCAAGCAAAATGCTATATATACATATGTATATATACACACACATATGGACATATGTCTATATGTACCTTTATATTTTATGTATTTGTACAACATTACACAGGGTCACATATATTATCTGAGCCTTTGTTTCCTCATCTTTAAAATCAAAGAATTAAGCTAGATGGTATCTAGGACTCTTTCTAATCTTAAGATTTTGTGATCCAGTGACTGAACCACCTGACCCAGGGAAGAATGGAGGTAGATCTCCTGCACTTGCTGGTGTGGTATCCTGGGGACCCCATGGACTTCTCAGACAGCTGTGCTGAACTCACAACCCAAATCATATTAATACACTAGAAAATCTTATTTTGACTGAACTCACATGAGGATAATAAGCATCACTAGATGAGAGCTATCAACTTTTTCATATGTTCCTGTCCTAGGGTGAAGGGGATGATAGCATTTTTCTTGGACCTGCTGATAGTCAACTTTTGGGATTTATTTCTTTTGGCTGTAGGTGATGAGGAAAAGGAGTGTTACTCCTCAACCAGGTGACTGTTGAGAGCCATAAGAACAGATATAAACTTGTTGATCTCAGATCACTGCAGAACACTCATTGAATTGTTTTGCCTGCAGAGGCAAAATCAGTTAGTTAAAAAAATCCCACATATTTTATACATATGTCAGAATGGTGATCTTGCTATTGAAAGGGCACTATTTATTAGATCTCAAAACCTGAACATACAGATTCAGAATAGAATAGCATGAGGGGAAAAAACTAGACTATCCCCATAAGGTTTTGAGTGAAACCAAGGTAAAATGACAGTTTCCAAGGCACTAGTCTACTCATTACTCCTGGAAACTTGTCAAAATTAACATAACCTTACTAGATTGGTACGTAAACTTTCCACTGTACTTTTGAGGTAGTCTAATTCTACCTGAGTGACCTGTTCAGTATTTTTGCTGACTAAAGCAAAACTATCCTAAGACTAGAACAAACCTCTGGGGAAGGGTACCTTACTTCCAGATATTATTTTGGAATTACAAAAATTGTAGTGTTCTAAGTGACATCCCTGAGAGATTCCTTGACCTCTAGCAGATTAGAAACACATTGACATTATCTCTACAAGCATGAGTGTTATTGCTAAGTTTCCAGCTTTGTTCTCATTTATTTGGAAGAGGGGTTCTTAACATGCTTTGTGTCATGGACCTCTTTGGTAGTTTGGTGAAGCCAATAAAATAAAATCCATGGAATTACAAAGGAAACCAATTGCATTGAAATACATTTTATCTATCTCTCTATTATATTTATAGACCACAGGTTAAGAACCCCTGATTTAGAGAATATTAGACTCTAGCTTAGAATTATGGAAACCCATGATATCCAAGAAATAAAATTATAGATCTCTTAAAGGGCAGTGGAAAGATGCAAATGAGTAAAAAGATGCTACAGTACATTACGAATGATGACTTGAACAAACAAAACAGCATAAAACATATCATCCAAGAGATGTATAACTGGATAGGGAGGTACTTAGGTATATGGCAAGAATAGGCAGCCTACATGCTGCTCTGGCTTCCAAGTAATATCAAAAGGTTGAAAAGCAAGGCTCTTAGTAATAATGGTAGAGGATTGGTAGAAGGGCATGCATAAGAGTCACACAGGATAAGATAACTGTTATCTGTGTCATGGGGTGGGTGGAACAATCAGTGAGAGTAGATCCACTGATATATTAAAATAAAGAGTAGTTTGGAACCTAATACTTCATCTACTATAAGAGTTCTCATTTTCTAGATAAAGAATCAGAGGTCTGAATAGGTGAGGGAGTAAATTCATTGGGGGTAGTGCTAGCCAGCCCAGAGCATTGAATGAGTGTCCATTGTCTAGATTTAGGATTGGTGTATAAAGGGGTCATTTATTTAGAGTCATATCCAGGACCATGGAGAGAATTATATACGTGCTAGTACTTGTGGTGAGAAGAGTTCACATCACACTTCCCCTCCTTGGACTTTCTATCCATATCCTAGGGAATTATAGGAAGATGCAATCATATATTTAGAGCTGAGAGGTATCTGGTCTAGCCCACTAATTTTAATAGAGGAAAAAGGTGAGGCCCAGAAAAGTTAAATGACTTGTCCAGGGTTGTATAGGTAGTAAGGAGCTGAATTAGGATTTGAACCCAGGCATTTTGGCTCCAAATCTCTTACCATTGTACTGTGAGTCTACAGACACATGAGTTATTGAGACGAGGCCACTGGGGAGTATCCAATCATAATTCTGACAACTAGAAGAGCTCCTTTCCTACTTTTCTAGCCATTGTTTCTAAGAGCCACTTATCCTACTTTTCACTCAGTGGTGTGCCGGTGTTTAACAACTAACTCTCTGAGAATACATGACACACTTTTAAGTTTAATATGAATTATTAACATTTTCTTTATTGCTTTCTTAGGTCTAGGCAATCATCAGAACAATAGATCAATTTCTGATTTGTATTATCATTTGCTGATTACTGAGATATAATGCTCACACTGAAAATTTAAAAAAATTGGCCCTCAGGAGCCAGTAGGAGCTGGCTCTATCACATCTTTGAACCTGTACTGTTGGGGAAAAAGAGAGATAACAATTAGACATAGCATTTTTAGCTGATGAACACTGGTGATTACGTTAACAACAATATCTTGCTGGGTAAGTTAAATCCCTTTTCTACATAATAATGCTTCAAAGCTTTGAAGACAGTTAACATGTCACTTCTAAATAAAATTCCATTTCCTTCAATTGAAGGCATAATCTTCACAACATATGTATAATCTCCAGTCCCTTCAACATCCTGATCTTCCTCTTCTAAATGCATTCTAGCTTGTCAATGTCTTTCCCCAAAACATGGTACCAGAACTTAACACAGTATGGTCTGATATGATCTGACCCAATGAGTAAGACTCTCATGTCATCCTGAATGATTTGCCTCTCTTAATGCAGTTTAAGGTTTTGTTTTTTTTTTTGCTACCTTGTCACTCTGTTGACTTATATCAAGGTTTCAGTCTACTAAAACCACCAGCCTTTTTTTTTTTAAACATGAACTGATATCCAGCCATGCTTATTCCCCATTCTCTATCTGCACAATTGAATAAGTCTTTCTATTAATCTCCTTTACATTTCATTTATTACACGTGGCCCAACATTCTAGTCTATCATTGTCATTTCTGGATTTTGGTTCTGTTATCCAGCATATTAGCTATCCTCTTTATTCCCTCACCTACCTCCATTACAGATTCATTTCATCTTCAGATCTTTTAGTTATGCTGTGTCCTTATTCCTATTAGGTTGAGATCAGGGAAGTTTCCCCTCCCTTTTCTTTTTTCCCCTAACACTTACCACAGTGCCCAGCACAAAGTGGGGCTTAATAAATACATGTTGATTGACAGACTCATCCAAATAATTTGTAAAAATGTTGAACAGCATAAGGCCATGGACAGAGGCTTCACAAAGCCACTGGCCATAGAGTACTTCCTAAATTGTGCTAGTTCTATTTCTTAAGCAGAAAGAACACGTAGCCTGCTTTTTGTTGTGGGGTTACTTTTAACATATTTCCCTCTCTGTATGACTTACCATTTTCAGCATATTGCTAGCCTTTGGGATCTTCTTATATTATTGTGCCATTCAAGGATCTTCTTTTGCACCTCTGCTTTCATGGTGAACAAATTGCTATAAAGTGTAAAATTCTAATAGAAAATCATACAGAGATCAATATGTTATTTGCTGTGTTGTACTTTAGGTCCATCTCAGTCCTTAGAGTTGTTTGTTGAGGTGTTCTTTAACTTAATCTAACACTGTCATAAACTCTTTTGACACTCTGGTAAAGCCTATGGACCCTTTCCAGATAATGATTTTAAATAAATTAAATTTCAATTTTAAATAAAATATTTTATTTTAAATTTAATCAAATTAAAATTTAAAATTAAATTTTAAATAAAATAAATACATTAGGGTTGCAGAGAAAACCAATTATATTGAAATAAATATGTATTTTTCCACATCAAAGATAATGGACCCTCTAAAATCCTTTTTTTTTTAACTACTTGGGATTCCAATTAAAGAACCTCTGCTTTAGGGTTAGTGTTTGTTGTTTGACAGGAGCCAGGATAATTTAGCAATATATGTACCCTCAGACATAGGTCTCCTGGAGGGCTACAACATTTAGTGCTACACTTATGATAAAAAAAAATATGAGTTCTTAGCTTAAAAATAATATTCATGATAGCATTTTTGCCATTCTTTAAATATTTAGTTTGAATCTGGGATTTCGTTGGCTGACAAATTAATCTTCCTAAAAGCATGTGTCTGACCATGTCATCTCTCCCTATTCAAGTAACTCAAATGGCTCCCTATCACCTCCAGGACCAAGCATAAACTTTCCTGTGTGGCATTCAAAGGTTTTCATAACCTAGTCCCCTTCCTACCTTTCTAATTCACTTACATGTAATACCGTGTACTCTACAATCCAGAGATGCTGGCTTCTTTGTTGTTCCTCATTCAAAATACTCCATGTCTTGACTGGGCATTTTCATTGGCCATTAGAATTGCCAAATAAGAGATTATTGGTAACTTGGCAGAGGGCAGTTTAAATTGCATAATAAGTTCATAACCCAGAATACAAAGAGCTAAGAAATCAGTGAGAGAGGAGAAAGTAGAGACACTTAGTATATGAAACTTTCTTACAAAGTTTAGCTGAGAAAGAGAGGAGAGATTTAGGACAATAACTAGTTGGAATAGTTAAATCAAGCAAAAGTTTTTCTATCTACCTATAATTCTTTTCATCTGTCTCCTGACTTTCCTGGCTTCCTTCAAGTTCCAGCAATAATCCCATTTTCAACAACAATCCTTTCCCAATTACCCCTAAGGCTAGTGCCTCTGTTCATTATTTCTAATTTATTCTGTATGTAGGGTTTCCCAAAAGTTTTAAGCTTCAACAGATTAAAAACTACATTAAGACTTTTGAGATGCCTTGAATATCTTGTTTTTCACAGTTATTTACATACTAAGTGCTTATTGAGTGACAGGTGTGGAGAATTCCTGGCATAGAAACTGGGGCATTGCAAGGTTAAGTGACTTGGTCATGGTCAAATAGCCAGTATGTCTCAGGGGCAGATCTTGAATTCAAGTTTTCCTAACTCTCTGGAAGGCTGGCTTTCTAACCACTACTACAATGTCTTACTGTCTTTAGTGCCATTTTGAAGTTTTTATATAATTTATATGCTACTCATTTCAAGTCAGAATACTCAACATCTCACCTTTTCTGGTTCCATTCACTAGTTCCTATTTTTGTTCTGATTCTTGACTCCTCATCATGACATTAATAATGGGCTCCTCCAAGGATCCCTGGTGAAGAGCTTTTCTTTTTATGAGTCCCCAAATTGTGAATCTTCATTCACTCTGCTCATCCCACATTGAAGTTAGGAGTGGGTCTTTAAAGTTAGAAACATTTGGATTCCTTACCAGTCCTGTAGATGGATGGATCACAGTGGCCAGAAACATCAGTACAACGAGTGGACCCATCCCTGAAAGAGGAAAAGTAATTTCTTTTACTTCACATAACTGTTTGGCCTCAAGGGTCCCTTTAAACATCACTTACCTTTTGAGAATCCATCTGTTCAGGACACTAAGCTAAGCCTCTTGATTATGATATTCAGAATTTTCTCTTTAGATTGAGCCTTTCATATTTATCCTTACAAATATCCTTGGCAAGTGCCTACATCTCTACACCTAGACCAAGGAATGCTGCTAAAAATGATTTCTATCTCCCCACCCCCCTTTTTTTTTTTTGCCAAACTATAGTATAGACTTTCCATCCTTTAAGACTCCAGCCCATTTCTACCTACCTATTTCTGAAGGGATATTTTTTATCCTTGTGAATTTACATTAGGTATAAACTCTCTCTCTCTCTCTCTCTCTCTCTCCCTCCCTCCCTCCATATACATATTCATGCACATGTATGCATGTATAAACACGCAAATTTTGAAAACAAATTTTACCTCTGTAAAGCTTTTAGTTGCCTCTTCACATCTCTAGGTATGTGCACCTAAAAAACTATGTTAGGCAATGATTTTTAAGAATCTCTCTGTGCTGTGGAGCCCTAACATGTCTCCCTTAAGCTCAAAATGACAATGTATTTATATAAAAACTAAAAACCCAAGATATCACTGATCTAGCTTTTAAAGGAAACAATCAGCTCAGTCATGGTTTCAATAATAAGCTTGTTTGTACCTTCTAACATTCCACCCACTCAATCAAAGTGCTTGGCATAGTTACGATGGTGGTTATTTTCTTCACCTGGCCCCAAGGAACTAGTTCACTTTCTGATTGTTGGAGAACACTGACTGGCAAATCTCCAAGTGTTGAAATTCAGTGCATATGTGTTGATGGCTATTAAGGGTAGAGGAAAGCATGGTTATATTGTTGGACTCAGTTGGTAAGACCTGAATTCAAGTCCAGCCTCTCACATTTTTGCTGTGTGAACCTGGACAAATCACTTACCCTTGGTGTCCCAAGCAACACTTGGAGATTATAAATTGCACAGAAGATACTAGCCTGTGTTGGTGGAGGGAGTTTTCTCAAAACCCACTAGTGGATAAGATCTACTACAGATTTATGTTGTATTAACTCAACTGGCCTCTCATTGCACGAAGACAATCCTTCTACAATTTCCTAATAGATTCAGTACACTTTAGGACAACACTTGTTTTAGATCTTTTTATCCCCTCCTACCCTCTCAACTGAGGATTTCACCTCTTAATTCACCTCATGCCCTCAATTGAAGCCATGCCTGCATGCTGATCCTTCTTTCCCCTTCCTCCTCATCTCATACCACTTGAATATCTTGCTCCACTATTTCCTCCTTACTTTTTATCTCTGATATCCCTTTTCCTCAATAAGGAAAACTTCTCTGTGTGCACCCTTGATTCTATTCTCTCCAGTCTTCTTTATCAGATTATACCCATTATTATTCCCTCTTTCTCTCATATCTTCAATCTCTCCCTTACTTTTAATGCCTTGCCTGCTGTTTACAAAATCAGCATGTGTACTCTACTGTTAGAAAAACTTTTGCTTGATTAACTATTCCAACTAGCTATTGTCCTAAATCTCTCCTCTCTCTCAGCTAAACTTTGTAAGAAAGTCTCCTATACTAAGTGTCTCTACTTTCTCCTCTCTTACTCATTTCTTAGCTCTCTGTATTCTGGGTTATGAACTTATTATGCAATTTAAACTGCCCTCTGCCAAGTAACCAATGATCTCTTATTTGGCAATTCTAATGGCCTTTTCTCAATTCTTATCCTTCTTGACCTCTCTATAACATCTGAAAAGGTCAATCATCCTCTTCTCAGGATTCATTTTTTTCTCTAGGTTTTCATGACATCGTTCTCTCCTGGCTCTCCTCTTACCTGTCTGATCTTTCTTTCTCAGTCTCTTATGAAGGATCTTTAACTAGGTCATGCCCACTAACTATGAGTGTCCCCCAAGGTTCTGTCCTAAGTCCTCTTCTTTTCTTCTTCTAGATATAATCTCATTTGGGAATCTCACCAACTCCCGTAAGTTTTGATTTTCATCCTTAATGCAGCTGATTCCCAGATCTACCTATTTAGGTCTAACCATTTTCCTGAACTCCAATCTCATATCATTAACTACTTTTTGAATATCTTCAATTTAAATGTCCTATTGGTATCTCAAATTTAACATGTCCAAAAAAACTATTAACTTTCCCCCACATGTCCCTTTTTCCTAACTTTCCTATTATTGTTCAGGGCACCACCATCCTTTTAGTGACCCTGGCTTACAACCTTAGTATAATTTTCAATTCCTCACACTATGTGTACAGTCTACTGTCAAATCTTGTCTTTTTTTATTCCTTCATAACATTTTTTTTCCCTAAGGGTAGCTAGGTGGTGCAATGGATAGAGTGCCAGGCCTAGACTCAGGAAGACTTCTTGAATTTAAATCTTACCTCAGACACTTAGTAGCTGTGTGACCCTGGGCAAGTCACTTAACTCAGTTTGCCTCAGTTTCCTCATCTGTAAAACGAGCCAGGGAAGGAAATGGCAAACCACTTCAGTGTCTTTGTCAAGAAAACCCCCCAAATGGGGTCATGAAGAGTTGGACATGACTGAAAAGACTGAAGAACAACTACAGTCTTTCCTTATATAGGTTCTTCTCTCCACTCACATAGCCATCACCCTAGTATAAATCCTTATCACGTCTCACCTAGATTATTGTAACGGCCTTCTAATCACTATTACATTTCTCATTTTTCCTCAGTCAATCTGTCTTCCACTCAAGTGTCAAAACGATTTTCTTAAAGCGTAGATCTAACTTCACTCATCAAGCTCCAGTAATTTCCTATTACCTTAGGGTCAAATGTAAAGGCTTCTGTTTGGAATTTAATGCCTTTCAAAAGCTCTTTATCTTCCTATACTTCTTTCTGTTTCAAAAGGACTCTAACATCCAGTCTCATTAACCAACTTGCTATTCCTCACTCATGATACTCCATCTCAAGACTGTGTGCCTTGCCATTGGCCGTCCCCTATACCTGGCATGCTCTGCCTCTCACCTCCACTGCTTAGCTTCCTTGGGTTCCTTTAAGATTGAATCTCAAACTCACTTTTTGTGAGATACATTTTCTAGTCTCTCTTCCTCTGCCCTCCCACACAAATGCTTTCCCTTTGAGATTACCGGTCACTTCACCTTCTTCCTCTCTCTCTTCCTTTCTCTTTCTCCCTCTCCTTCTCCTCACCCCCTCCCCCACCTTATATGTACACAGTTATTTTGCACAGGGACAGAATTTTTGCTTTTATTTATATCTAGAGTGCTTTACCACAATGCCTGGCACATAGTAAGTGCTTAATAAATGCTTGTTGACTGACTTTCCTATTTCTGGGTAGACCATGCTGTCTCATGTGGTAACCTCTCTTAAAAAAATCGTGTTTAATATTTCATTTCCTATTTTGTGTAAAAGCAATTTTAACTTTTTTTCCCCCAATTTTGAGTTCCAAATTTTTCCCTTTCTCTCCTCCCCCCCATTAAGAAGGCAAGCAGTTTGACATAGTCATGCAAAACACATTTCCATCTAAGTCATTCTGTAAAAGACAATACAGACAAAAAAACCCAAGAAAAATAAAGATAGTAAAGAAAAAAGTATCTTTGATTTGCATTCAGGCTCTACTAGTTCTTTTTTCTTGAGTTGAACAGTACATTTCATCATAAGTCGTGCAGAATTGTCTTGGGTTATTGTATTGCTGAGAATAGCAAAGTTATTCATAGCAAATCATCATACAATATTGCTGTTACGGTGTACAATGTTCTCCTGGTTTTGTTCACTTTCCATTAGATGTTCGTGTAAGTCTTTCCATGTTTTTTTTTTTTCTGAGAGCATCCATCATTTCTTAAAGCACAATAGTATTCCATCATAATCATTTACAACAACTGGTTCAGCCATTCACCAATTGATGTATATCCCCTCAATTTCCACTTCTTTGCCACCTGAAAAAGAGCTGCTATAAATATTTTTGTACATGTGGGTCTTTCCCCACCTTTATATAATCTCTTTGAGATGCAGACCTAGTAGTGATATTGCTGGATCAAAGGGTATGTACAGTTTTATAGCCCTTTGGGCTTAGTTCCAGATTGTTCTCCAGAAAGGTTAAATCAGTATCCAACTTCACCAATAGGACATTAGTGTTTTAATTTTCCCCTGCAACATTTGTCATTTTCCTTTTCTGTCATATTAGACAATCTGGCAAGTGTGAGGTAGTAGCTCAGAGTTGTTTTAATTTGCATTTCTCTCATCAACAGTGATTTAGAGCATTTTTTTATATGACTAGAGACAGCTTTGATTACTTACTGTGAAAACTGCCTGTTCATATCCTTTGGCCATTTATCAATAGAGGAATGGCTCTTATTTCTGTAAATTTGGCTCATTTTCCTATATGTTTGAGAAATGAAGTCTTTATCAGAGAAATTCATTGTAAACATTTTCCCCACAATAATGATTATCTCTAATATCAATACTTCTCTCCATTCTATTTTCCCCATTTATCTTACTCTCTCTCTCCCTTTACCCTGTCCATTCTCAAAAGTGTTTTGCTTCTGACTTTTACTTCTCCCAAACTGCCCTCCCTTCTATCAGCTTCCCCTACCATCTTCTCTTATTCCTTTCCACTCCTATTTTTCTGTACAGTAAGATAGATTTCTACACCCACTTGAGTGTGTATCTTATTCCCTCTTTGAGCTAATTCTGATGAGAGTAAGGTTCGTGTGGTCTACCCCTTATTCCCCCTACTTCCCCTATTTTCCCTTCCACTGTAAGATCTCTTTCAGACCTCTTTTATGTCAGATAATTTATCTCATTCTACCTCTCCATTTTCTTTTCTCCCAGTGTATTCTTTCTCATCTGTTAATTTTATTTTTTAGATAATCATATCATCACATTCAACTTACACTTCTGCTTTTGATGTATACTTCTTTTAACTGTTCTAATAATGAGAACATTTTAAAAAGTTATAGAT